TTGGCCTTCGCCTATTGAAGGAAGGCCTCTAGTTGACGTCGGTGACCTCGTCGGTGGAGGAAGCCAAAAGTGGAGTAGGTCAAGATTGACCGAACCACTCTAAATCTCGATTTGCATTTATTTTGAGCATATTATCTTTACTGCAAACCTCCTCAAAAGCTTACTGCTTTCTGCACATATACGATCGGGTTTCAAGCTTTGCACTTTCCGAATCGGCGTTTAGACGTAAATCAATTTTAGCGTACGATCATCATATTTTAGTTTGCGTTTACGCTTTGATTTCTATCATAACTGCAAACTGCCTTTATATCCTTGCTTAAACTGTAGTTCGCTTAATCAAGTGATTTACAAATCAGCATTTAAACGTAAATCAGTTTTTTCGTACGAATATCATATTTCAATTTGCGCCTACTATCTGATTTGGATCATAACTGCAAACTTCATTTATATCTTTGCTGCATCTCGCTTAAACAAAAGTTAAAGTGATTTACGAATCGGCTTTCTTACCGAAATCACTTTTAACAAACGAACGCAGTTTTTATCGTAGAAGGTTTTCCGCTGCACTAATTCACCCCCTCCTCTTAGTGCTCTTGATCCTAACAAAGAGAAGGGGTGAATTAGTGTAGTAAAAAATTTTCGTCAGTTAAAAAGACTTTCGTACGAAAATCGTTTCAGAAAGAACTTTAACTTAGAGCAAACGAAAGTATAGATGATGTAAAACAACAAAGGTAGTTTGCAGTTAAGATAAAGAGCAGAATGTAAATGCAAACTGAGATTTAGAGTGGTTCGGTCAATCTTGACCTACATCCACTTTTGGCTTCCTCCTCCGACGAGGTCACCGACGTTCACTAGAGGCCTTCCTTCAATAGGCAAAGGCCAATCAACCTTTTACAGCTTTTCTCCTTTTGACGGACTTAGGAAACAACTCTTACAAGCAATTAAGGGACAATATCAAACGATATAAAGTCAAACTTATCAAAGGTTTTTTTAAAAAGGCATCGACTATAACGAAACATATTTTTCAGTTTCTAAAAAGAACTTGTTGAAGATCTTCATCATAATAGTAGCACACTATGATTTTGAGTTATCTTATAGATGTGAAATAACATTTTTGAATAAAAATTTAGATGGTAAAATCTATATAAAATAATATAAAGAAATCATAAAAAAAAAAGAAAAGAAAGATGTGTTTAAAAACTTAGGAAATATATTTATAACCTTAAACAAACTTCCAAACAATGGTATATAAATTTTCATGATATCATCAGGATTTAAGAAAAATACTATTGATCACACTATATATATAAAGGTTAGTGGGAGTAAGTTTATTATATTGATCTTATTTGTGGATAATATTTTATTTCCTATAAGTGATCTTGGTTTATTGCATGAAACCAAGAAGTTTCTCATCAAAAATTTAAAAATGATTAATATGAATGAGATAGTTAACATTATTCGTATTGAGATATTCAATGATATACTTCAAGGATTACTAGGATTATCTCAAAAATGATATATTGATATTCAATGATATACTTCAAGGATTACTAGGATTATCTCAAAAATGATATATTCATTGAGTCTTAAAAAGATTTAGTATACAGCTTTATTTAGCTAATATACCTATTACCAAAGATGAAAAATTCAATCAAAATCAGTGTCTTAAAAATGACTTAGAAAAAATCAAATAAAGGATATTCCTTATATATACATAGTTGAAAGTTTATTATATGATCATATATCAGTTTTGTAGTTGGAATACTAGGTAGATATCAGAGCAACACAGGAATAGAATATTGGAAAGCTATAAAGAAAATAATGAGATATCTATAAGGGGACAAAAGATTATATGCTTTCATATAAGATATTATATTAAGATTTTATAAATTATCATGATATCAAGATTATATATTCACATATAGGAAATCAAATTAAGATTATATGCTAACATGAATACAAGACTAGAATATTCAGATGTTGATTTTGTAAATTATAATGATAGTAAAAAATCCACTCAAGATTTATATATATTAGTTGGAGGGATAATTTTTTTAAAAATATAAAACAATCACTTATTGCATCATCAACAATGAAAGTTGAATTTATGGCATACTTTAAGGTTACAAATCAAACTTTATGAGTACAAAATTTTATCTCAAGATTTAATATGGTCAACTCAATTGTTAGACTACTAAAGTTCTCATCTTTATGAATAACAAGTACTTTAATGGTTAAAGAAAAAATTAAAAATAATAAGTTATTAATATATTTACTAAAGCTTTATAATATAAAATATTTAAAAAATATATTCTTATAATAGGGCTTAAGAGCAAGCAATGAAAGATATGGTAATACTGGTAATGTATGCTTAAGTGATTACTATTATTAATTTTTTTTCTTAATTAAAATTGTTTGATTGTGTCATCGTGTTTATATTTATACTTATTATAATTGAATGTAATAATAGGATTATCTTGATAAGATAAATTACATAAGTTATTATAAATTATATTAAGAAAGACCAATGGTGTTACGGTATATATAGAAGAAAGTATGATATTGATAACATAGAATCATTATGACTCACATTAATAATTAAACTTAATATAGTATTATTGTGCTTATTAGGTTTATTGACTTATTTTAAAATTCATGACTATGTATATTTTTTGAAATACTTCAAAATCTAATTAGATAAAATTATTTTTAAATAATTTTATTTATTTTAATTTTATTAATGTGTCAATTGAAAGAATATTAGATTATATGGTCTTATCGAATTAGATAAATATATTATGGATCTGATTGGATTATGATTATGATTATTAGCTAATAAAAAAATTTAATTATAATAAGATTAACTTAAGAGATTAACTTAATTAGAAAAACTCTCATAACTATTATTCTAAACTTTCTGTTCTCGTTTATAAAAAGATAAGACGAACATAAACCAGTTAATTACATATATTTTTAATCTTTTTTAGTCCTTGATTCATCGCTTATAACAATTTTATGAATGATAGAAAGAGATAAGTAGACGAGTTTAGTTCATTTTTACATTTCGATATACTATGACTCGGTTTCGATTATAATATACCTACCGATCAAATAAAGGTTCATATAAGAAAATAATAGTAAGAAGGACATCAGGGATGCATAAACCGAACATGAAGAGGATTAAAAGAAATCATCACACACAAGCAGTTCAAAGACAGCGTACTGTTTCTTTTCTCAAGGCATCTTCCATATATCGATTCACCTATACAATCTATATAACACCGGTAACTCGTATGGTTGGAGGAGTTCTTGAAGTTTGCTAAGCTCACAGTTCAATCCATGTCAAATGCTGGGATCCTGCTACCACCGTCTTGAGATCTTAAAACCTAACTTAAAGAATATCTACAACATCGTCCTAATGTGTAAGAATCTTGAAACATACTAGTCAAGAAAATAAAGAAGAGATAAAGAATAAAAGCCCACCTCCAAATAACTCTGAGCAAACTTTCCCAATCTGACATCCCATTATAATTCAAGATTCATTGGTTGATTCTTTCCTGTGTCATGCATAGAACAACAACAAAGAACAATCTCATTCTATGCTCTGCTTCAAATGGCTTTATCGACAACAAACAATGATCCCGATCTAATTACCCATAAAGCTTTTACCAGCATAATCCTCTCTCTCTCTCTCTCTCTCTCTCTCTCTCTCTCTCTCTCTCTCTCTCTCTAAATGATCCCGATCTTAATGCTCATAGGACAACAACAGCAACCACAAAGAACAATCTCCTTTCTTATTATATTTACTCTGCTTCACTAAGCTTTATCGACAACAAATAATGATCCCGATCTAAATGCTCATAAAGCTTTTAACAGCATAACCCGATGGCCAAGAAGAAAGGAATCGGCCATCAATCCTCTCTCTCTCTCTCTCTCTCTCTCTCTCACCATTCTTGAATGCCCACTTTAATTCCTATTTTTGTGTGATCCAGGACTCAAAGGAACATTCTCGTGTAGGACAGCAAGTGCCCTACGAATTGAGCACCGAAATCTTGATGATCTCGGAACTACCTTCATCAAAAGAAAGAGAAAAACGAGAGGGAAAAATATTTACCTCGAATTCCGGCGTTGTTCACCAACCCATCGATCCGATCAAACGTATCGCACGCCCTCTGAACCGAGGCCGCGATCGCCGGCTCACCCGAGCTCACATCCAGCTCGATCGCCACCGATCGGATGGCGGAGGTCTCTGACGATCCGGACCGTTGATCTCCTCGCAGATGGATCTCAGCCGGTCTGTCCGCCGCGCGGCCGCGATGATCTGGCAACCGGCCCTGGCGAGGTCGAGGCAATGGTCCCAGCCAATGCCGGAGGAGGCGCCGGTGACCATCACGACCTTGCCATCCAAGCTCCTCCAGGGGGGCGACGTCCGGTTCGCCACCTCCCCCACCATGGTTGGATAACTGCCTCGAGTCACTTTTTCTTTATAGTGGATGGGCGCCATATGCAGAGAAGAGCCAGTGCGGCAGTTCCATGGAAACTTCTAGATCCCACTCCGCCATCGTGTTAGGACAACTGCTTGTTCCGACCCCACACAGTAGGATAAGCCGGTATGAGTACTTGGTCGGTATGTTGCAAGAAATATAGGGTAAAGCTGTACTAGAGTCGTTGAATATGTCAGCAATAGAGTTAGTTGTCACACTTTGGAGTATGCATTCTGTACTTCATAAGCTTTACAGCATCATATCCATAATGCTGAAACTGGATTCCTTTTTTCTTTCTTTAATTCTAAAACCCCCCCTACCTTTCGGCTTATACATCTCATGAGACCAACTCTACTGTGCACAACAGTATACTTACTATATTCAATCCTTGATCGACCCGATCTATATGAAGTACGTGAAGCAGACTCATGGTATAAAAGAAGAATTCAACTCCTCATATGATGCCAAAAAGACTATAAAACAACTTAATCATGAGAATCATGAAGACATTATCTGGTATTGGGAAAATTATTCACCGGACAGTGTCTCTGACTTATTTGCTGCGGGAAGAGTAGAATAATATGACCAGGTTGATTGAGTTGCAATTACAACCCAGCATCTCAATAACTAATATCAGAGGGAAGAGAAAAGGGGGATCCCTGGCAGAGTTACACCTGCATCAACTATAAAGATGTTGCCCGAAACATACGACGAGGAGTCATGAATCAAGAAGCGCACGACTGATGTCAATGCTGGATCTAAGGTGCCATATGTTCTTAGTGGAACAGTTTTTTCAGCCACCTTATTCAGCCATTCTCTCTCCATTAGACCAGCAGTTATCTCGGATCTGAACAATCCAGGAGCTATAGCATTCACACGAATATTGAAACCGCCCAGCTCTAATGCCATCACCTGTTTGGGAAAGACAACATTGTTAATATATAATCAAGGCATGAATAACAACAACAACAACAACAACAACAAAAAACATACAAACCTTTTCAAACGACAAAGCCATGCCATACATTAAATTGAAGTGAATACCGAAATCAACATACATGAAGGAAAACATTACACGAGTAGAGAACACCATGAACTAATTTGAAGAGGAAAAGATGTGTGATGCAGTAGTTGGATCTCCAAATGATTTACCTATGCAGTTCATTTAGTGCAAGTATTACATATGCCTAAATTGCAGCATTTGTACACATTTATTACTAGAGTTCCAACATGCATCTATGAGTTTGCTTGATTGCATATGTTAGTAAATGCTAGAGATAGATGGTCATGCCCTTGTATATTCTACAATCAAAGAAAATTTTTTTAAAGTCAAATACAAATTTACTATTAATTTGAGTGACAGAATGAGACTGCTCTGTTGGGACATAACTAGTGTTCTGTATGTGCAATGACCATGACAAACTCTATGCAGCACCAGAGTTGGCCACATGCGGTACTACTCAGAGAAACATGGGCAACCCATGATGCTAGCAGCCTGATTACCTTAGTGACTGCATTTACACCTGTCTTTGATGCAACATATGCAACTCCTCCCGGTAAGTGGCCACGTTCAGTACCTCCAATAGATGATATATTGATCACGGATCCTTTCTGTTTTGCGTCCCGCATGTGCTTGCAGACATGTTTGGAAACTAGCCACAATCCAGTCAAATTTGTTCTGATGTTGCTACTCCAATCTTCCTCAGACCAATCTAATGGTGAATGGACACTACCTGAGAGAAACAGCATGTAGTAGAAAGCAAACAAACAACCAGCGAAGGATGATTGCCAACAAAAAAAAGGTGAAAGATTACAATGACATACAAATATAAGTGCGGTGCATGTAAGAGAAAAAAGGTGCCAATCAGTACTTGGTTAAATTAGTGAACAAAGTTACTAACATATATCTCAAACTAGAATTACAAAAACTGAGCCATGAAAGAAGAAAGAAAATCTATGATTCTGTCACAGTAAATTTTCCTTGTGTGGAAGCCAAATGATCACACCTGCAAAACAATTTCATGTGGTAGTACTACCAAAGAATTATGACACACAAGTGAAGATATGGCATGTTGGCAAACTATGTACTAATTCCTATCTGTTGTTCATTTGCATAACTAACATCTATTCTGTTTAACATTTTCTAACATGCAGAGTCATAACTTCTTTTTGTTCATTACAGCTGCTATCAAAATACCAAATCCAATTGTAACACAGTTTTTCTACAAGTATCTATTTAAAGAGAATGAAGCTACCAGACACTAATTAGGAAACAAAATCTGAGAGATTTCAGAAGGAACACTAAAAACCCTTCATTTGAACCACATCATCCATTTGTGAGGGCACTTCACAAATAATAATCAATGATGCACTGATCATGATCATGTCCAACATACAAAGTGTCTTGCGACCGTACAATCAAGGACTCATCTGTCTAAAGAATCAAAAGTAGTCAATTGAAAAGCAGGAGTAAATATTTAGACTGAGATACATGACCAGTGTAATGGATAGGCGAGCCAGAAGGCAGGAAAGACTCAGCAAGTTCAGACATTCAAGATGGATCAGGTAGCTTTAGGAATGAGTTCTTACTATTTTGCATCATTTAATCCTCAATTCAACATGGTCTAATGTCTAGTTGTTAGAATATTAATTTAATTTTATGTTAACATTAATTTTGCATCATTTAGTCTGCAATTCAACATCATTTAATCTGAAGACTAGTAATTCAAAGACATGCACTTTTAACTCTAAGGGAAGATGAGATCTTCTAATTCACATATACAATCTGTACGGTTCAACTCACATTTTGTGATTAAGTCCGTGCAGTGTTCAATGCAAATTAATTTATGGTACAATTCATGTTAAATGACGGGATCCTGATGCCAGCATATTAAAAGCTAGCTTGGAAAATATCTGCAGCAACACCCTAAGCCGTAACAATCTTAAACAAAATTAGTAAAGAGGAGAAAAGAAGAACAAAGAATTCAAGCTTTCTTTCAAATATCATATGCAAAAAATCGTCAGAATTTGATTCCACATGGTGATCAAGATTCACTCACTAATCCTAATAGTGGCGTAGCTCTACAACAAACAACAATGTCTTTCTCTGTAGTCTCTTCATATGGCTTTACTACAAAATCTATTGGCAACAAACGCGTTTCCAAACCTAATTATCTGTGACGCATTCTGCGCCATAGTCCATAGCACTGCGCTATATGGACAACTCCTCTCTGATGAGCTGAACCTAAATGCATTGCTACTGGTGATGTGAAGCCGTAACTGTTGTGATTCCCAAGAAAAAGAATAGATATTCGAGGAGTGAGCCTATTTTAAGTTTCGAACAGAGAGAGGTGTGCATTCTATTTGGCAAGTTTGCCATCTTCACTCGCAAATACACTGTGCCGGATGTCCTTCTTTCGTTCGTTAACCCAACAAAATATTTTTGGCCATCAATCTCTTAGCGTTCTCAGATTTCCACGGTAATTCCGAAACATGTTCTCTTTATATGATCAACAAATCCAGAATCTGGGCTAAAGATGACCACAGCCACAAAATTAAAAGGAAAGATTACCTCGAACCCCAGCGTTATTCACCAATCCGTCGATCCGACCAAACGCGTCACATGCCCTCTGCACGGACGCCGCGATGGACGGCTCATCCGCGCTCACATCGAGCGCGATCGCCACCGACCGGACGGCGGAGCGCTGCGACGGTCCGGATCCATTTATCTCCTCGCAGAGGGACCGCAGACGGTCGGTCCGCCGCGCGGCCGCGATGACCAGGCATCCGGCTCTGGCGAGGTCGAGGCAAAGGTCCCGGCCGATGCCAGAGGATGCGCCAGTGACCATCACGACCTTGCCCTCCAAATTTCTCCATGGAGCGAGCCCCGGCGTCCGGGTCTCCGCCTCAGCCATCCACTCGGCCATTGCTTCCCTCCGACACGCATGTATATAGCGATCGAAACGGCAGGCGGTCACAAAGAGAAGGCATTTATAGTGGGTGATTAAGCGCCACGATCTGATTTGATGGAGTACGGGTATTTGTATTCGTCGATCCTGATCTAATTGGCTCGCGACGGTCCATCTCTTCCGTCACTGCGAAAGGGAATGCTTGATGGGGGATGCACGTATCGTGATACTGTTGTGCGAATCTCAAAGGCCACGTGTTTGCGGTGAATCCTAATATTGTGCGTGGGCCACCCAAGTTAAAAAGAATCCTTCACAAATTGTTCACGTATTTTCTAATTATTGAAGTAATTGCTCGTGTGTTTCTCTTACAAGTTCTAAAAAAATTGGAGAAAAAATATATGTAATATTATTTGGGTTAATGTGAGAGAATAAACAAGAGATTTGCTGGAGTTAGAGTTAACTCAAGGATGGATATAGATATGAGTATAGAACTAGGTAAATCTTTTTATCGATTTTTTGGTATACTCTTTATTTGTTGATATTTCTTTTGGTTTCAAAGATCCTCTCCCCCTAACGCAACATACCTATTTTAAGAATAGCCTAACCAAAATAATAAATATTTTGATAATAAAGAAAATGAACATAGAGATAAATAATTTTTAAATATACTCACTTTATGACTTTCTTTTGTGTCTGATGATACCATATATAGGAAAGTTATAAAGACATTTCAAGATGTTGTCTTCATTTTTCATGGATTTTTGTAGGTGTATTAAAAAATGTAATCCATGTCTTATGTAATCAAAATGTTGTCTTAATATATGACCAAACTAGCCACATAAAAGATGAAAAATGAGAGTGAGATGATCGTTCTGGAAAAACACTTTAATGCAAATATTTTATATAGAAATTGCAGTTGGTTTTGAATCCTAAATTCATGGAGATTAAATATATAAAAGGATCTAATACTCATCTCAACCATATGTGCATTCTAAATAAATATATATATTTCGAAAACAACAAAAACAATAATAAACGGAGGCAAAGAAAGAGAGCAGAGGGAAGTTGACATTTATCTTCTGCGTGCAACACCGATCATGGGTTCCTGGTCGATTCCCCCTGCTTGAAATGATCATCCTGCTCCCTAACAAGGGAGTGAAAACGGCCGTGAGTGAGTGCGTCGGGAGCAACGGAGGAGCTCGAGCCTGGTGGTGTGTTTAGGTTCGACATTGCGCTTGATGAAGAAAGGAGATGGCCCAGAGTTTATTAGGGTATGGTTTGGGGCCGTGGAAAAGCCCAGAGGAAAGCCGCCGGCAAGGAATCGGAAGCAAAAGCGTGATCCCCCCCATCGTGGCCTGTCGGAAGATCCAATGGATGGATGCCACGTAGTTCGAATCGATACCCGAGCAACGTCTTCCGTAAGACGCCCGTATGGGCCACCACGTGGTAGGACCGAGGACGCAAGGAAGGTGCCGCGAAGAAGGTTATAAATGGGTCGAAGGTGCGGCATAGGGCTTCCTTCCAAAGGCGGCGTCAGGAGCAAAGAAGAAAGAGGAAAAAGAAATTTTAGATCATTATTCTCATATCTCCACCTCTCGTCTTCCTCAGTTCCCCCCCCCCCCCCCTCAGGTACGGGAACATTCTCGTCTCTCTCCCCCCTCCCCCGCGGCCTTTTTTTTTGAATGAGATGATTGTTTCATGTCGTGTTCTCGTTCATATCTTGTCTCGATCGAGTCCCGCCGGGGTGCTTGCTGTATGAGAAATGTTTTATGGACCCATTCCCGGACATGGGCTCTCCTCTGTGTGTGCTTTCTTCCGTCTATCTTTTATGTGAACACTTTGATGAGAAGATGATCAGGTATTGTGGTTTTCTGTAAAATCGGTCGTTAATTTTTAGGAAGACGAGGTCGATGTTGCTGTCTTGTTTGCTCTTGTTTCTTCTCTTTTGTCGTTCGGGGCTAAATAATTGCATTAGGCATCAGAGTCTTTCTCCCGGATGACCGGATTCAATCGACATCTTTTCTTTCTTTATTAAAAAGGAAAGTTGTTTTGTGAGGCGGCTGCCGTCCTTTCGTCGTTTTCTGTAAATATGATATGTTATCATCATCCATGTTACGTCGTATCGCGGACGGGCACCAATGGTGCGTCGGCCCTTTCTCTGCAGAACACAGAGAGAGAGAGAGAGAGAACGTAAAACGTGGTCGCGTCTCTTCGTCTCTCCTTATGGATGACTCATTTCCTTTAATTGCTTTCGACCGCGAGAGGGCTGCTTGCGTTCCCTTTCCTTCCTTTTACCTTCACCCGTGCATGGATCCGCGTCCGTGATTGATAACATAGTTTCTCCGCTGGGCCACATGCTAGGATTACATCTTGTGATGATATCTCGCGCCAGGCAGAAGCGCTGTCTTAGCCCTTGGTGCTTCGCACTGTTGCGGCAGCCCAGCGGAAGGAGGTTTGGTGATCGTTCAGGCGAACTAAATCACCCGTGGGTATACGGCGTCAAGGTGGATGGTGGCTTGTCGCACATCATGATGACCCCACCCCCTATGACATTCTTTAAGGCTTATTCAATTCGCTTCAGTAGCTAACAAAATTGTGGCCTTGATTTATCTGTTGGTATATGGAGATGAATACCCACTTGCCCACGCCGTACTCAGGCGCCATGACAATTTTGTGTCCAGGTCGTTATACGCTTGCTTCCACTCGGTCCCAAGTTTATGCTTATTTACTGTGTTTCTTCTTCTCATAGATCGGTTGTATTAAATAGCCAACGGAACGCCCAGCATCAGGTTGTGCAATCCGATATGTTTCGTACTGAGAGAAAGGAGAAGACTGATTTGGTTGTCGGTTCGATGCGCAACAACAGCCCGTCAGATGCCTTTTTTATTTATTTTATTGTTTATTTAATTAGCAAAAAGAGCATGCTTGTTACTTGTTAGTACTTTATGGCAGGAAGTGTACGGTACAGATCGTCCGGCACGACCACGTCCTTAACTTATTTATGCCTGTCTATCAGTCGCAGGTGAGACCAAAGCAGCAGCAACGATGGGCGCCGGCGGACGCATGACTACGACGGAGCAGGGGCCCCTTCGATACGGCGGCTGTGGCATTCCGCTTCACCGTTCGCCCACCGAGAAGCCCTCCTTCACCCTGAGCCAGATCAAGAAGGCGATTCCCCGTCACTGTTTCGAGCGCTCCGTCCTCCGTTCCTTCTCCTACGTCATCCGCGACCTGCTCATCGCCGTACTCTTCCTCTACTTCGCCGTCGCCGTCATCCCCAAGCTACCGCTCGGCCTTGCCCTCCCCGCCTGGCCGCTTTACTGGGCCTTCCAGGGATGCATCCTAACCGGCGTGTGGGTCATCGCTCATGAGTGCGGCCACCACGCCTTCTCCGACTACTCGTTCCTCGACGACGTCGTCGGCCTCGTCCTCCATTCCGCACTCCTCGTCCCCTATTTCTCCTGGAAGTACAGCCATCGTCGCCACCACTCCAATACCGGCTCCATCGAGCGTGACGAGGTCTTCGTCCCCAAGCCCAAGGCAGCCCTCCCATGGTTCAGTAAGTACCTCAACAACCCGCCCGGTCGCATCCTCACCCTGGCCATCACCCTCACCCTCGGCTGGCCTTTGTACCTCGCCTTCAACGTCTCCGGTCGCTGCTACCCCCGCTTCGCCTCCCACTTCGACCCCTACGGGCCCATCTACTCGGACCGCGAGCGTGCCCAGATCTTCATCTCCGACGCCGGCCTCATGGCGGCCCTGTACGTCCTCTACCGCGTCGCCGCCTGCTACGGCTTCTGGTGGCTGGTCAGGGTGTACGGCGTGCCGCTCCTGATCGTGAACGGGTGGTTGGTCCTCATCACCTACCTGCAGCACACGCACCCGTCGCTTCCCCACTACGACTCGAGCGAGTGGGACTGGCTCCGGGGGGCGCTGGCGACGGTGGACAGGGACTACGGGATGCTCAACAAGGTGTTCCACAACATCACGGACACGCATGTTGCCCACCATCTCTTCTCGACCATGCCACACTACCACGCCATGGAGGCGACCAAGGCCATCAAGCCGATCCTAGGCGAGTACTACCAGTTCGATGACACGCCACTGCTGAAGGCCATGTGGAGGGAGGCGCAGGAATGCATTTACGTGGAGCCGGATCAGGGGAGCAAGCTGAAGGGCGTCTTCTGGTACCGCAAGGAGTTGTAAGTCGAGCTCAGGACATGTCAGTGGAGTGAGAGGAGGCGACATTTAGTGTCACCTTTTTTTCGCGTTTGTTCCCGTCCGTAACGTGTAATCTCGTCCTCGTTATGTACCCCTTCCCCTTCACGTTGGTATTTATGTATCCGTCGTCTAGTAAACGTTGCATGCGTATGCTTCGTATCTCCAGACAAATGGTCGAGATATTCCATGGGCTCATGTATCATTTTGCTTACGAGATGCTGTAAGTCTTCCGATGTGCACGAAGGGGTGATGGTAGATGCGGTTCGCAAGGGAAAAATAAGTCAGAGACCACTTTAGGACGAACTCCCTTTTGCAGGTTCGGCTCGTCGAATGCTGTTTGATCAGCACGATTAGGCTATGACAACAATAGAACATTCATCCGACACGAAACAGATGATAGATGCGAATAACAACACGTAAGAAATTTTGTCCAAAAAACAAAGCACCAGACAGTCTGACGGCATCCGATGTTGATTGGCCCTTTGGTACGGGAACGCTGAGTTTGTGTTCGGCAGATCCTGTCAAGCTGCAGCATGGGGCGATGATTGATCATGGGCAATATTAACTAGAAGGAGATACATATGGGAAGGTTATGGACCCTCACGACGGCTGCCTCCATTGCCATATTTTCAATGGACGAACCCACGAAGTGTCTGTCAAGCCAACATTTCGAGCTCCTTCCCCTGGAGTCATAAGATTAATTTAAATAATTACGATTAAATCAAATAAAAGATTAAATTTAAATTTAAATAAAATATATTATGATGAAAGATTTATTGGAATATGATAATTTTTTTTTATTTTAAAAAAACTTATACTCTATATTTTAGTTAATATAAATAGATACTCGGATCAATCCAAAAGTCCTATAGGTGTTAGTAAATGATAAATTCGTCTCTTCTATTATTCTTTTCTTTCTTTTCGTTGAAGTTATGAAGAAAAGCTAATAATATGATATCACAGTCTGATTCAAAGAATATCAACAAAAATATATCGATTAAAAAAAGATGGGAGATATTAGTAGATCCAGGAAAAGAAAAAAAGAAGATGACAGACATTACAGTAAGAGTTCCTAATTTACTTATTCCTATCTTCAAATATGATAATTATCAAATTTGGATTGTTAAGATAAAAATTTATTTATTTCATAAGGATTATATAATTTGATAAAGAATGATTTTGTTAAGTATGATCTACAGGATCTTAATATTATTAAATAATTAAAAAATCAGATAGATAAAAATATATAAAAAGACGTAAGAGCCCTCTATATACAACAACTAGCAATAGATGATTATCTATTTTTTTGAATCATGATGGCATCAATATCAATAAAAGCTAAAAAAAATATTAAAAAGTATATTTGGAGGCATAGACAAAAATTTCAAAGTTTCAAATTCTTCGACATAAATTTGAAACACTTATGATGAAAGATTTTAAATTTATCATTGATTTCTTTTGAAAAAGTCTCTTCTATTATGAATCATATGAGATCTTATAGTGAAAATGTAAAAGATCAAACTATAGTAGAAAAAGTTTTACGAAGTTTATTTTTAAAATTTGATATAATTTTTATTGATATAGAAGAAGGTAATAAAGAAACCTATCAATGTTTTTGTTAAAAAAATAGATATATTGAAAAACATTGTTAGTATACAAATAAAAATTTAAATATTCCTCTCTACTTTTACTGTAAAAAATATGACCATCTTGAAAACTATTATTGAAACAAAAATCAAACAAATTATTATGAAAAATAATAGTAAATAAAATGATGAAAAAATATTCTCTTTATAGCATATGATGAAGAATATTCTAGATTTGTTTAGTTTTTAGATAGTAAACGCATTAATCATATGACAGGGGATAAAAGTTTATTCTAAATGCTTGATGATTTAGTCAAATCTATAGTATAAATAGGAAATGATAATAAGGTTCAAGTGGAAGGAAAAGGAACAATTATTGTGAATACCAAATCTAATAAAAAAATTATTGATGATGTGACGTTTATTGTTAGTTTAAAATAAAATATCATTAGTATAAGGTAATTGACGAGAAAAGGATATTATATTATTTTTTATGATGAAAAATACTTGATTTATGATTATAAAAAATAAAAAATTAATAGCAACTATGAGAATGACAAAAAAATAAGTGTTTCCCTTATTATTTTCGGGTTTCTCCTTATATGCCGCTATTATTGATAAATCGATATTACGACATATTAGCTTTGATCATTTAAATTTTTATAGGTCTATACAAACTATCTCACATAACGAACCCTTCAAAATTCAAATTGATAAAAAGATGCCTCAAAATAAGGCTAAAGTTGATAAAAGTTATGATGAGAGCGATGAGGAGTCACAATTGAAGAAGTAAAAAATTTTAGATTCTATTTAATATACCATTGGTAAACTTGTTACAAAGCAAAAAAGAGAGCACTAGTCACGCTGAAAATGAGGATGACAGCTCTAAAGTTAGTTCTGATGATAAACATTCAAAAGGATAATAAGCTAAGAAGTCTCAAGTATTAAAAGACAATAATGATTCTAATAGTCTTTCGAGGAAAATAAAGATAAGCTACTAAAGACGTAGAAGAAAGTTAAAAATATAAAATTAGTGGATGCAATTGTGAAGAGTAAAAAACAAATAACTACGAAGTCTAAAATAGAAAGGCTCAAAACTCTTACTACAATTCAAACTCAATCTCTTCACAAAATCCATCAAAACTTAAAGAATACTTTATTTTTTCTAAAGATAACTATTTGAATTAAGGCGGTGTGATAAGATCAATTCAAATAATTATGATTAGATAAAATAAAAGATAAAATTTTATATTTAAATAAATACATCATGGTGAAATATTTATTGAGATATAATATATTTTTTTATTATTAAAAAACTTATCTTTTTTATTTTTATTATTTTATTATTGAGACATGATATGATTAAATAAATAAATATTTATTTAATCAATATAAATAAATATTTTTGGATAACTTACTCTTAGACTATTTTATTATTTTCTTCTTCTTCTTCTTCTTCTTCATTAAATTCTCAAGAAAACCAACATGAAGACCATCCTCCGGAAGAGGACTGAGCAACGACAATCCATATGGTCATCAAATCCAACCACCGGTGCTTTATGGCTTGTCCCTGCGCGTTGATCGTTGTCATTGTTGTAGGGTTGTCATAGTGATTGTGTGTTAAACCTACTGCCCGTCTATGATGGCTACGTTATTGAGGAACGCTTGGCCACGACGATAAACAATAATTGCACGGATCATCAAATTAATTGGTCATTATGGGCCCGGAAAAGACCGGTTCGTGGTTGACGTGATGGCCCACCCTTGTGACGCTGCCACGGTCGGGCTTCATGGTGATGAGTGGAGATACATAATCGAGCACTTAGAGCGAGGTTTATGGTTGGTTCACAGTTGGTTCGCCAGCGATGGATGATTGACGTCGGGGGCATCTCATGTGGGAGAGCAGGTGCTTAAAGGTTTGGCGAGAACCGCTGGGCGTGGCGACAGCAGATGAAAGGGATTGGTGTGATAACTTGGAAATATAGAGACGAAACGAACCTGTTGGCTTTAGTGCCCTCCAAAATGACGACCACCGTGCAGGAGATAGAGCAGGCGGACAGAGGAAACCAAGATGGGCTCTGGCTGGACCTGGGTGCACGAATCGCTTGAAGCGGCCCGACCTGTAACCGAGACGAGCTTACTGACAAGACAAAGTGGCCCCAGAAGATTTTTCTTTAACGCAGGGACGAGCTTAAATACGTGGAATTAGTGTTACTTTCTTTTCCTTTTCCATGTGTGAAGATAAGGTTCCATCGGTGGCTGTCCAAAGTTCTTACTGTGATGTCCTATGAACTCAGGTGGAAAGTGTTACGGTGAAGATAGTCTGACTTAATATCTTCGTATTTGGTGCACCTGCTCGGAGATAAAAGCAGAAAGAAGCAGTGGAGATTGCGCGGAATTGCATATTAACAATCCACAACTGGTGTACCAATTTGTTGCTATCTAATACCAAACACCATGTCCTACTTTCATCTTGCAGCAGAATTATATCTTAAACATGCACCGGGATATCTTGAGCGCTTTGTTGCTTGCCTGTAGTCATGTCTTCTAACTCAGAAATACAACTGCTGTAGTGAAATGGAGACCATCTCAAGGTTGGTCACCAGGAAGGAACATATAAATCAACAAATAGACAATGGGGTCACTATTATGCTAAATGCTGCAAGAAAGAAGGTGACTGCGCGTACATGCAACCGATCATCTGGTGGTACCAAACAAAGAAATTTCTTGCTTGCAACTCGAACTCTACTGACCAGCCACCTAAACGCTAACAAATCTTAATAATCATCCGAACTGTGTATTTGGTTGTTCTAGTAATATGGCCTTTAGGAAAATAATTGATCGTGTCAAAATGCACGAACCAGAATCTCCTAAGGGTTGGATCTGGTATTGTATATAACTTGCTTAAAAGGTGTACCTACTTCAACTATTTGCATCTTCATTCGAGCAACGCCTAAATGACTAAACAAACAAGTAAGCCATTTCATCAACAAAGCTTCAAGCTTGATATGCATGTGTATGCTTGAGCTTGAAGGCCCCGACAATTCATGCGGTTGCTTGGAAGCAAATATTACATGGGGAGAAGAACCTATATGTATTGGATGGAGTTCACTCTCCAATTCTTCAACAAGCAAGTTACTCATTCATGGAGTCCATCAAGCTCTCCCTTCTCCTCCTCTTCTTTTGCACCGTCACATTCTTTGCAATGGCTAAAGATTTCTCCATAGTCGGCTACTCACCGGAGGACCTTGCATCCGAAGAAACACTGATGTACCTCTTCGAAAACTGGATGGCTAAACACAGTAAGTCTTACGCAAGCTTCCAAGAGAAGCTGAGGAAGTTTGGGATCTTCAAGGATAACTTGAAGCACATCGACGAGACAAACACAGAGAGGAAGAGCTACTGGCTTGGGTTGAATGAGTTTGCCGACATGAGCCATGAGGAGTTCAAGCACAGGTATCTCGGACTGAACACTGACCTGCCAAAGATAAAGGATGTCAGATTCAAGGCCCGAGAGACCTTCATGTATGAGAAGGCTGCAAATTTACCCAGGTCGGTGGACTGGAGGAAGAAAGGAGCAGTCACTCCTGTTAA